GATTGCATGTCACCATGCATCGATCCTTACAAATCATAGCTAAAAACTTACACAAACATCAAATGGGTACTTACAAATATGACTTCTACATGCAATGGAACAAGTATCATCAACCAATCCAGTCGCAAGTGGCTGTCCAAAGAATAAACTACCAAAATTTCAATATCAAAAGTCTCCTTCATGATATCAAAAGGAAAAAATAAAATTATTCATAAAATATCAATAGTTAGGCTAAAAAACAATCTAATATATATATGAATATAACATTAGATCCCAATAACAGAAAATGATAGCAAGATCATGTCAAAACAAACTCCATGGTGGGAAAAGATTTAGCTATATGCAATGGAAAAAAACCCTAGAACAATTTATGGGTGTTATGCTTAAATTGCGTCTTATGACTTCCTTTTTGGTTATAAAAAAACTTTCATCATACATTAGATCAAGTCAAAATTTTAACATTACAAACCCCTAGACAATCTAAGCTATAACCAACCCCAAAGACCATTTACAATCATCCACATCCTTTCTTTTTCATTATTAAATAAACCTACATAGGAGAAAATTTTTATTGAGCAACTGAAATTACAGAGTATATATCTTGGGAGGTTGTGGGGGTGAACATTTCGGTTTTACCAGGAACCAAAATTACATAGAAAGCAAATTTAGACTTTGAAAAGAAATCCTTAAACAATAGGACTATAAAAGCCTGGAGTCTTGGAGTGAACCAGTAACAGATGTAAACATATTCAAATAAGACTTTAGGGGGACTATATCCACATCCCAGTCACTGGTTTTCTAACCACCTATTTGCTTAAAATGTTTTATTTTTTGATTTGTGCTTCTGTTCCTGAACACCCTCTTATTCAGTTTTGTTACTTTCATTTTCTGCCCTCACTTTTGTTCTTGAACCAAATCATTACACGCGGCAAACAAAAAATAACATTTGAATAAAAGAACAATTGCAAATTGAGGCGGCGACCGCGGTGGTGGAGTGGAGGAAGGGGGTTGCGGTTATCAACTGTAGCATGGGCTTGCGACGATAAAGCTTCACTTCTGATAGTTTGAATGTGAGGTTTGTTGAGTTGAAAAAAAAAGGTAGGACTTGCTCACATTATTTGAATCTAGCGTTTTTCGGTATGGATATCACGTTTTTGATTAGATCGAGAAAAAAATTAGTCGAAGTATAATTAAATTGAACCGGACACCCTTAACCATTGAATCAAATAAAAAAAAAACAAACCCTGTAATAACAAAAATCAAGTATTGATTGTATAATATTTATATTTTTAAATGATAATTTTTTTAATTACACATTCAAAAATTAAAGTAAATAGAGAAATAAAAAATAAATAAATAAGGAAGAGAAGCAAAAGAGGTAGGTGTATATTAATAGAGTTGTTTNTAAAAAATAAATAAATAAGGAAGAGAAGCAAAAGAGGTAGGTGTATATTAATAGAGTTGTTTGGTATTAAGAAATATGTGATTGAGTAGTTTGATAATAAGGATCAAAGCATAAAAAATGATATTTTTTAACAGAAAAAATAATATTTTTTAACAGAAAAAATAATATTTTTTAGCAAAAAAGAAATATGCGACGATGAAAATTTATGAAATGACAGTGAGGAGGATGCAATTTTATCCGTTAAATTAACTCTCCATAGGTTTTGGGGGTGAATAAAGTAATATATTTAGAAATTTAAAACTCTTTATTCTTTATTATATAGATTGAAACAAGTAGTTGCATTAGTCGGTCCATTTCACAAAATTCAATGTGTGGGGCTATTTACACTCTGATTGGACCCAAATTTCACAAAATTCAATGTGTGGGGCCATTTACACTCTGATTGGACCCAAATTGAAGTTGAATCGAAGATTTCTCTTTGTAATTTATGGGTCATGAACCCAAGAAAACTACCCCAATAAAATGTCTGGCATGAATTCAACCATATGATCGAGTCAAATCTAACGCTTCACTGTTGTAGATATGCTTTTGACATCACGAAGTGATGGATAACTTTAGTCTATATGTTGCTCGTCAGCTTCCGAGTATAGTCTTGCAACATTATTAGCGTAAATGAATAATATTATATCAATTTAAAATATAGACTAAATCAATCACTGTTATTAATTTTATTGTGAATCCTATCATTTATTGTAATCTATTATATATTTAATGATTGTGATTAATTAAGTCTACATTTTAAATCTAAATAACATTTTTCGGCATAAATATGTGTAAATATTGTTACTCCTTTTGAGAAGTTTCCTTTATTTGACTGTTTGGTAGCTTGTACAAGGTTTCCTGATAAACTTGGTTGTTGTTCACTGCTTCTACTTTAGTTGTACAGAAACTGAGATGCCAAAACACCTTATAATCAAGATTACAAACCAATGCATATATGGTAAGCCTAATGATTGACTGCAAGCCTTGGGTAAGGGTAATATCATACTTGCTGCTCCTCCTCCAATGGGGCAGAAATTTCACCAATAAATTGATTGTCTCAAACCCCATGAACAAAATCAATTTAATTACACCCTGCCCTTCCATATGTCTATTAAAATTCAGAATGAGACCCGACCCGAGATCTGATTTTCTGTCCATATCGTGGCATTTTATTAGCCAAATAGGAGTAGTGCTGTGGGGATGGATCATGTTCAAGTTGTATTTCAAGTGATACTCTACTCTTCAGCATTGGCAATTGAATGAGAGGGAACGTCCAATGTGAGAGAAAGGTTCAGATCAGGCAAGCCTCTTGGGTCATCTTCCAAAACACTGACAGCATCAGAGACCTGATTATTATCAACATGACATTTCACAGGCTGACATTCATGGCTTTTCGAAGCAGACGACGTTGTACTAGTTGATGCACCGAGACTTTGAAGGTGAGGAAGACTATGATTTAAACGATGATGATTAGGATTGATGCCCATGTTTATAAGCTTTCTCCTCAAACGAGGATTCCAGTAGTTCTTCACTTCATTGTCTGTACGTCCTGGCAATCTTCCTGTTATCAATGACCATCTGATAACATTTTGTTGCCATTAATACAAGTGTTAGTATAAACCCTATATAGCCTTATGACCAAAATTTGTATAATGATAGCAGCAACATACCTCTTTTGTGATTTCTTTCTATCAAAGAATCTTACGAACGGTTTATTCCCACATGATACACTTTGGTTCAAAAAGGTTTTGTCAATTTCAACAAATTTTCCTTTTGTCTTGAATTGAAAATTTGCTCTAATTTGATCCGTTCAATTTCGAAATAGTAGTACTAGAAGTTAATCTTGTTGGAGAAATATATTTCTATACAATCACTGGCCAATTATGGTCAGGTAGGTAATTAGATCTATTGTGCGAAAATCAAAAAAAAAAAAAATNAAAAAAAAAAAATGAGCATCATCCATATTTGTTTCTTTCCGTACTTTTGGTCTACTTTACTTGGTGGTTTGGTTCTGCAGTTAGATTTTCATCTGAATTATCCAAAGTGAGACTCATATGATCAGCAACAACTAGCAGTCTAGCAAGGGAAGGAAAAGTTGTCAGATGTTTTCATGTTGAATGATAGTTTCGGGTATTTGTCATCTATATCACAATATCCTTGATAACTTGCCTTCTTATATTTATTCACTTTGGATTCCGTTTTTGTTTATTCTCATCCTCGACTCAGAGAATATTTAGAGTCTAATTCTAATCATGATTTCATGTAATTACACATGAGATAATATATAGAAGAAAAAGTGGAATATTACAAAAGATTGAGGTAATATTGCAGCATTAAGAAACGTTATCGCGGCATCATAAAATAAGAACTTGAGACACTCAATTGAATCGTCTAAGATGTCTTCGAACCATGAGTCGGCAGAATCTCGTGGTTGACACCAAACGTGTAACAATTTCAGAACAAAAAATACCAAGATACGACTAGCTCAAATCATTAGATTGGTTAGCAAAATCAAATGAGAGTACACAGTTCCAACAAGTTATTCAATTGGCTCACCGGAAAAGTCCACATCTTTACTACTAAGAGCATATTCTAAGTACCACTTTAAAAGGCTCTTGCTATTACTAGGCTATAGAATAGTCAAATATTTAATTATAAGTTTTCACTCAAAAATATTGTTTTCGTAACACGAGAACACGACAATATCACGTGATATATGTTGTCTCTGCTTCTCTCTCTCTTCTTTAGTTTTTTGTAATTCATCTTCTTTAATATCGATCTACTGTAAATAGGACTGTCAAACAACAAATTAATGGATCGAACACAAAATTAAACGAGTTATCAACACGTTTAAGTACGAAATAACTATGTCGTGTTCATGTCAAAATCATGTCAATTTGATTTGATTAACCCATATATTTTAAACAGGTTGACATGATTCGGACACGAACCCGGTCAAATCCATTGTAGACCTGTTTATAATAGTATAGTTTACTTATTATGGATGACTGATGTGATCTTAACATTGTTACTTATTATTTTCTATTTCTATTATGATAATTAGCAGTATAGTTATTAACATTATTATGACATTATACTAGTATAGTTCTTGCTTTAATTTATGGGTTGAAACTTATATATTTTAGTTAATTTTATTGATGAGATGTAATATGTTATTTGTGATGAATAGTTGAATAATGTATTTAATGGTAATGAAATAGTATGGAAATAGGTTATGTGTATTAAACAAGTAAAATAAATCATGTTATGTGTATTAATTCGAAAACGACTTGTTTATGATACGTGTCAAACAGGTCGGGTTCGGATAACCCGTATAATGATCAGGTCAAGTAATGTTTACTTATTTCGATACAATTATTAAACATGTCAGGTTTGAGTTTTGAGATTTTTGACATAAACTCAAAATTAACCCGACACGTTTGACATCTCTTACGGTAAATCTGAATCCGTAGAATCTACACAATTCACCTTGGTCTGAAAATTGACCCATATACCAGCGGTCCATTTTTGAAAAATAGACCACAGTAGTTGTCCGCTCATAGAAAATTGATTGAAAATAACTTATCATTCCCATTAAAATGACACATTCAATAAAGGTCCCCAACTGTTAGTCATTTCAGCTGCCCCTTGGGACATCCTCTATTCAATGCTGCCCTGAGCTGTATATGCTGGGGACGATGATTAAGTAGTGAGATGTTCTCCAATATATATATATATATATATATTTTTTTTTTAATTTTTTTGGTACATCACCTTCTATGAATTTAAGTGAGATCCATTGTATATATATATATTAGACTATCACTCGTTAATGGCGAATAATTTCTCAAGAAAAAAATGCACCAAAAAAAAAAAAAAAGTACCAGAGGAGATCTGGACCTAAATGATTAAATATCAGAAAATAAGCATCATGTAACTGGCCTGTTATACACTTTATTTGCAAAATATATACCTAATACTATACTTTATTGTTGGAATTATTTTGTTTGATTGACTCTAAACTCTTATACTATTATTTGAAAGATAGGAATTAAAAATAGGAAAGTGAATCTCGGTACATCATACTTATATACAATAAAAAATTACATCGATTTATTAATATTATCATGAAATTCAATCATATTTATAGGATGAGTAAGTAATAAATAAAGCTAAAATATAGCACCCGTTTTGGATATTGTTGAATCCTATTGCATTTATAATAATCGTATTCATGATACATTAAGACACTTTCAATTTATTTCTTATTCGATGCGAGACTTTTACATATGATAATATTTCAATATTCGTACATACCAGAAAGCTTCATATCATCCACCTCGAAAGAGAAAGCCCACACAAAGAACGAGGAGGTAGATGAGAAAACAACCTTAATACTGACAAATGGCATATCATTTCACCTACCAATCAATACATTTGCAAAACAACATGTGTTTTGGTATGCAAATAATTCTCCCTCATTCATAACAATTTTCTTGCACAAATCAATTGAAGTGGTTGGGTTCAGTAATGGTGTTCATAACTTTGTCCATTCCTGGGACATCATATCATGCTAGCCACCTATGCTATTGAACTTTTGATGTAAGAAAATAATAAGGGTGGAACTATTCTCACTCTTTATATCTCTTTTTTCACCACATTTAAAGCTCTTATTTCAAACTATTAAGTGCACCCTATTAATTACTAAATTCACCCTATTTATATTCATTCAATTAAATTATTAAGTATGCTGCTCTAACTTAACAATTAAATACTCAATCTTTATTCACTAAGTTTTCGAAGAAGTCATTTTTCTTTGGGTGGGTGTGCTAGAGAAAGCTTGTGAGGAAGTAGTATCTCTGTCTTCTCGTCTTCTTGTCTTCTCATTCTCATCATCGAAATGGATATTCTATTTGTAGAATAGGTAATTGGAGGATGAGGTTTCTGAGGTGATCTATATTATTTCAAGGTGTTTTGAGATATATTTATATACTAATTATTTCTCGTACCTGAAGATACGGAGTAATAAAAATTATCAACAATAAGCATATTTGTATTCACATCCAAAATCAAATTACAAAGGTAGAGGAAAGATAAAAGAATTTAAGCACTGGTTATATTGAGGTGAGCGGTGGTAGTGGTGGTAGGCAACATTGGTGGTGGGTGAGAGACGGTGATGGTTGTGGTGGGGTGGCGACGACCGTGGTGGTGGTGACCGTGGGTGGCAATAGTGATGGTAGTGGCACGACGATGATGGTGATTGGTAATGGTAGCGGCGGGGTTGTGACAGTGGTGTGTGACAGTGGGCAACAAGTGGTGGTGAGTTATGGTAACGGGTGGTGGTGAGTTATGGTAGTAGGTGGCGGTGAGAGACAGTGATGGTTGTGGTGGGTGGCGACGACCATGGTGGTGGTAGCAGCCGTGAGTGGCAATAGTGACTGTGGTGGGCGACGATGATGGTAGTTGGTAGTGGTGCTGGGGAGAAACGGTGATAGTTTTGATGAGTGGTGATGGTGGCAACTATGTCTAGCAATAGTGATGGTAGTGGGCGACGACGATGATGATTAGTAGTGGTGGTGGTGGGGCTACGACGGTGATGGGTGTCCGAATAGTAGGAAAGTGAATCTCGGTACGTCATACTTACAAACAATAAAAAATTACATCAGTGTATTAATAATATCATAAAATTCAATCATATTTATAGGATGAGTAAGTAATAAATAAAGATAAAATATAGCACCCATTTTGAATATTGTTGAATACTATTGCATTTATAATAATCATATTCACGATACATTAAGACACTTTCAATTTTTTCCCTATCCGATGTGAGACTTTTACATATGATAATATTATAATATTCGTACATACGATAAAGTATAAAAATGTTATGTCAAATCTTGTAAGTTTGTAACATGTTCTTAATAAGTCCAAAATGTAGCTTCCTATCACCTATGCTGTCCACACTGCTATGGTTATCGAGATAATAGTCCCCGCATTGAATGAGAAAGCCCACACAAAGAAAGAGGAGGTAGATGAGGAACCAACCTTAGTACTGATAAATGACATCAGCTATGCTATCCACATTTCTATGGTTATCAAGATAATAGTCCCCACCNGGAGGTAGATGAGGAACCAACCTTAGTACTGATAAATGACATCAGCTATGCTGTCCACATTTCTATGGTTATCAAGATAATAGTCCCCACCTTGAAAGAGAAAGCCCACACAAAGAAAGAGGAGGCAGATGAGGAAACAACCTTAGTACTGATAAATTACATCATTTCACCTACCAATCAATACATTTGCAAAACAATANCCTTGAAAGAGAAAGCCCACACAAAGAAAGAGGAGGCAGATGAGGAAACAACCTTAATACTGATAAATTACATCATTTCACCTACCAATCAATACATTTGCAAAACAATATGTGTTTTGGTATGCAAACAATTCTCCCTCATTCATAGCAATTTTCTTGGACAAATCAATTGAAGTGGTTGGGTTGTAATGGTGTTCATAACTTTGTCCATTCCCGGGACATCATCACTTGCTGGCCACCTTTGCTATTGAACTTTTAATGTAAGAAGATAATAAGGGTGGNCCCTCATTCATAGCAATTTTCTTGGACAAATCAATTGAAGTGGTTGGGTTGTAATGGTGTTCATAACTTTGTCCATTCCTGGGACATCATCACTTGCTGGCCACCTTTGCTATTGAACTTTTAATGTAAGAAGATAATAAGGGTGGGGGTTATTTCCGCTCCTTAAATCTCTTTTTTCACCCCATTTAAAGCTCTTATTTTAAACTATTAAGTGCACCCCATTAATTACTAAGTTTACCCTATTTATATTCATTCAATTAAATTATTAAGTCAACTGCTCTAACTTAACAATTAAATATTCAATCTTTATTCACTAAGTTTTTGAAGGAATCATTTTTCTTTGGGTGGGTGTGCTAGAGAAGGCTTGTGAAGAAGTAGGATCTCCGTCTTTTCGTCTACTCAATCTCATCATCGAAATGGATCTTCTATTTGTAGAATAGGCAATTGGAGGTTGAGGTTTCTAATGTTCTCTATATTATTTTCGAGGTGTTTTGAGATATATTTATATATTTTCACTAATATCTTTGAAATATTTTAATGTGTTTTAAGATATTTTAGTATATTTTAACTAATATTTTAAAAATAATTATTAATTTTTATTTTGTTTCAAAAATATTTTTGTACCACAATAATACACCAAAACGAAATTTTGATTATTATATATATATAGTATGTTGAAATAAAATTGAATGAATTTAATTTTTAATTAGTGAATATAGAAGGAATGGGTATAAATGGGATGAACTTAATAGTTTGAAGTAAAATGATTCAATAAGCTGGAAAAGAAAATTTAAGAGTGAAAATAGCCTCACTCAAATAACAAAAAGGACCACATTTTCATGATTCCCGCCTTTGTTCGTATTATAAGTGCACTGGTTATGAATTTATATTCTAATTCTTCTGTGTATCTATTCTAGTGCAGATTAATAAGTGTCACCCATATGGAGTATTATAATTGTTTTATATTATTTTACAGAGTGAATAGCACTTTTGGTTCCTAAAATATGTTCGTTTTGTTAGTTTGTCAATTTGGTTCTTAAAATATTAAATTCGTGTTTAAATGATCTCTATACAGACAAGCCGTTAAGTTTTTAATAAAAATGATCATGTAATATCATTTGAAAGAATGACAAATGATCATTTTTGTCAAAAAAAAAAAAAAAAACTAATGGCCTGTCTATGTATGAACTATTTAAACAAGAATTGAAAATTTTCGGGATCAAAATAATAAAATTGATTCATTGAAAACTAAACTGACAAAAACGAATATATTTTAGAGACAAAATATGCTATTAACCTTATTTTATACAATAATAGTTATCGTACATCGACAACATAACATCTTTTAACCTAGTAAATAATCTTTGTGAATATACCTCTCTCGATATTAAATAAATTTTGAGTGGGATGACTTGATAGAAATACTTAGGGCATGTTTGGTTTAATTTTCAAAAACAGTTTTTTGTTATCAAAACTCCGAAAATAAGGCGAATGTTGTTTGTTTAGTTTTTTTGTTCTCCAACATTTTAAAAATTTTGAGAATTGAGATGTGATTTTTGAGAACAACAAAATGATGGTTTTTGAGTTTTGAGGCTACAATAAAAAACAAGGAAAACAACATCTTCTCTTTAGTGCGATTCACCCATCAAACTTTCTTAGCAACAAAATCCACTCTCTCTCTCTCTCTCTCTGTGCAACGACATTGTCCAGACGAAACACAAATCGTTTCTCTCTCCCACGATCTGGGTTCAAGAATTCCGACAATCTCCGACGTCTTCTTCATCTTTTCTAATGTCTTTTTTTTCTGCATCTGGATTCAAGACATACGTGGTGGTTGTGGGTTTCAGTGGGAATTGTGGATTTCGATGGTGGTTGTGGGTTTGGATAGTGGTTGTGGATTTTGGGTGGTAGTTGTGGGTTGGTGGTGGTTGTGGGTTTTGGGTGGTTGTTGGTTTCGACGTTGTGGGTTTCGATGGTGGTCTTGATGCACAGTGAAAGAAAGAGAGACAAATAGTTGAAGAGGGGTGGGAATTGTGAATTATTGTTCAAATAAATTTTATAATTTTTGTTATTTAAAATTATTTTTAAAAATATATAAACAAACAAGTTTTACAATCTAAAAATTTTAAAAAATATTTTCTTAAAACTCTTTTCCAAAAAAGTTTTCAAATATTGTTGTTTGAGATGCAAATCAAACAGGCTCTAAACATTCTACATTTTTAAATTTTGAAATGAGCATATTTGCATGACCCATAATAGTGGGAGTGGTTATATAACATGTAGCAACTTAATTTGGTTGAATGAAATCATTATTTGTATTTAAATAAATTTAAATTCCAAAAAAAATCAAAAAAAATAGGGAAAGAAGACTTCCCAAACGGACACCTCCCTACTTTGATTCTTCTATGTAGTATTATAGATAAATGTATATTGTGCATGTTTTGCACAATTTTTAAGACAATAATGCAAGTCCAATCTATTTTTCTGACGCAATTCACTAGTACCGTTGAATAAAACCCAGCCTCATTTAATAATAGGATCAATTATTGATCTGATTAAAGGTAGATCATCAATGTTAAAATTAGGGTATTCATGAAAAATAAATTATTTATGATCTGACTCCAAGGGATTGCCAAAATTCGAACTCATGTCGTCTAAATTTATAACTTGTTCTTGTTACCATTTCTACCCCTTGGAATTTGATTATTGGTTTATAGACTACAATGAAACACGGAATTAAATTAAGTCTAGAAATTGTGTCCAAATAATAGTATTTTTTTTTTATACAAGTTTCCTCTTTCTATTTTAATATGTGGAGAACAAAAATAAAATGTGCATATTAACAATATTCTGCAAAGTACATATTACTAATTAATCAGCTAAATAAAAGTGTTGGGGATGCTGCGGGCTCATGTTTTCTCTCCTCTTCAACAATGGCAATTCAATGGGTGGGAAAGTTGAGACCACCAAGGTTCAGATCAGGCAACCCTGGCGGTTCATCTTCTAAAACAGTGTCACTATTGCATGCCTGATTATCATAGTTCACAGTCTGACATGCCCGGCTTTTCGAGGTGGATGATGTACGAGTTGATGCACCGTGACTTTGGCGAGGAAGACTATGATTTAAACCATGACGATTAGGATCGATACCCATGTTTATAAGCTTTTTCTTCAAATGAAAATTCCAGTAGTTCTTCACTTCATTGTCCGTACGTCCTGGCAGTCTCCCAGCAATCAATGACCATCTAAAAACCGTTTTTTTTTAACCAGTCAAGAGTTAGTATAATTATAGTAAATACTAGTAGTTATTCTCGTTGGAAAATCCAATTCTATATGATAACTTGCTATTTATGGTACAAGTTCAAATACATAAAACAAGTGATGGTCTGATAAAAAAAAAATACATTTATATATCATATACCTAAATAGGAATGTAATGATATCGGTGGCTTCCGATACCATCATGTTACCACCGTTACAACCGTAACACCGCCGATTTTCATTACTAGCTAATGAAGAATGTGTTGATACATCTTACCTATTGCCTAGGAGTGCATGAAGGCGGATGATGAGATCATCTTCATCTTCATCAAAGTTGCCTCTTTTAAGGTCTGGCCTTAAATAGTTTAGCCATCTAAGCCTACAACTTTTACCGCAACGAAGTAGACCTGATTAATACAAGATGCAAACAAAAAATCAACCATTTTTGCTCCTTGACTTGGTAACGGTAGAATAGAATGTTGGTGCATTGGGTTATTTACATACCTGCAGCCTCAGGTAGAGCATTCCAGCAACCCTCGCCGTGTTTGTGAATGTACTCCATGAGTTTTTGGTCCTCTTGTTTTGACCAAGCTCCTTTGTTAGTGTCCTTTTTATCACAAGAAGGTTTTCTCATTGTTATTGAAGTTGCAAATCCGAGAGAGACAGAGAGAGAATTCAAGAACTCAAGGGGGTGGAACCGTGGTTATCCGGTAGATATGAGCAGTTGGGATATTGGGGTATAAATTAGCGTTGCAGTTGGACACGACGGGGAAGAGAGAGAGAGAGAGAGAGAGAGTAGAAGCGTAAACAGATTGACTTGGACTGGTGGTTGAGACAATGAGTAATGGTATTTAGAGTTAAAAAGTTAATTAATTGGAAATATTATTTGGATTTAAAATGTATATTTGATAACTATAATCCTTGAATAGGTAATAGGCCGTAATATTATTGAAATTTAATTTATTAATCCAATTTATTAACATAATTTAGTATAGCCGTTGAATTAACTGTGAATTTTATTAAATATTTAAATTTTGTGTTAATCTAACGGTTACAATAAAATCATATTATTAGCTCAACAGATTTGATATGATATTTTGGTCTCAATAGTATTACTCTTTTTTATTGTAATTGTTGGATTTCTTCATTAAAATTTTATCACTCTGACACTTCATTGTTAATAAATTAAATCAATTTTTTAAAATCCTAGCTAAGATCGAATAGATGATAGGAAAAACTAAGCGCGCATTAGTCATACTATCAGCTATTAACAGTACAAAACTTTAATTATTACTTTGAATTTAAAATAATAAGACAGAAATAGAAAAATACAAAAAAAACCTGAAAATAAATTATCACTTTTGGTCTTAAACACTCTCTCTTTCTCTCTCCAATTATTATGTCTCATGCATTTTTTATCTGAATCATCCAAAGACTCTGCGGCAGATCAGATGTCAAACATAGAATGAGATGATCAGCAACAACAAGCAGTCTTGTCTAACAAGGGATAAAAAAGTTNATCAGATGTCAAACATAGAATGAGATGATCAGCAACAACAAGCAGTCTTGTCTAACAAGGGATAAAAAAGTTGTCGAATTTTTTTTTTAACATGTTGACTGATAGATGCGGATTATTTGTAATCCATTGCTGCCAATAGTGGTCAAAACCTACTAGTTTTGGCACAAAAGTGAAATCAAATACTTTATAGATGGGTCCAAAAAATGGAGCCGTACATAAGATTCTGAAAATCATGTTGCATGTGATTGGAGTTAATAAGGTTGGCGCGGAGTTAAAAGTTTATCTTTTAAATGGGTAGATTCAACAAGAGGAGATTGGCAACGTGGTTGTTGCATACTTTAAACACTTGTTTACATCGGTCAAACTATGCGAGCGAGATTTAGAGATTGTTCTAAACAAAATAACAAGTAAAGTATATAATGAAATGAACTTGAGACTCATGTAATACTATTTTTTTTTTTAACAATACATACCGTGCTATTGACTTAATAGGTATTATTAGTCATTTCTCAAATGTACCCTACTAAATTGCTTAGCCAAGATGATATGTCTGCTCTTTTCTTTCAAAAATACTAGCATGTGATGGGAGTGAATGTCCTAATCTGTGTACTATCTTTTTAAATTGGGGGGGTTTTTCCCTACTAAATTGAATTATGCCCACATTGTTCTAATTCCTAAAGGACAAAAGTCCTGAGTTGATTTCTCAATCTCGTCCTATAAGTTTATGTGATGTCCTTTATAAAATTATATCTAAAGTCCTAGTTAATAGGTTAAAAATTGTACTCCCTATTATACTTTATGAAAACCAAAGTGCTATTGTTCTGGGAAGACTAATCATTGATAATGTTCTTGTGGCATTTGAACTAAATCATTTTCTAAAGTGTAAATCTTGGGGAAAAGAAGGTCACATTTCCCTAAAGTTAGATATGAGTAAAGCATATGATAGAGTAGAGTAGATTTTTTTTTGGAGAGAATGATGGGAGCTTTGGGGTTTAGGAATGTGTGGGTTCAATTGGTTATGGAGTGTGTTAAATCGGTTTCATACTTGGTGTTTGTGAATAATGAGCAAATGGGTTATTTTCATCCTCAAATGGGTATCCAACAAGGAGACCCCTTATATTTTTCTTATATGTGCAGAAAGAATGTCAAATTTGCTTAAAGATGCGGAAACTCAGGTATTAATATGAAGAATCATTGTTGAAAGGGGATGCCCCAGAATCTCTCATCTATTTTTTGCAAATGGCAGCCTGCTATTTTTTAAGGCTACTTGTTCGGAGGCAAATGCTATGAAGGAATTACTACAAATCTATGAAGCGGCTTCGGGGCAACAAATTAGTTTGAAAAAATCCGCTTTGTTATGTTGTAAGAATGTTCCAGAGATTAGAGTTGAAGAAATACAAGTTATTCTTGTTGTTCCTCGGGTTCAACAACATGTGAAGTACATTGGGTTGCCATCTATAGTGAGTAAATTGAAGAGGACAGTTTTTGCTGGTATCAGGGAAAGAGTTTAGAAGAAGCTACAAGAGTGGAAGGAACAATTGTTATCAAGGGGAGGTAAAGAAGTGTTAATAAAAGCAATTGCTCAATCAATACCTACATATGTTATGGGCTGCTTCAAGCTTCCCGATTATTTTTGTAGCAAGTTGGAGTCTTTGGCTTCTAATTTTTGGTGGGCCAAAAGGAGGGGGAGAGGGAGATTCATTAGGTTAAATAGGCTGGCATGTGTAAAGGGAAGAAGATTGGTGGGATGGGTTTTAGAGACTTAAGGACTTTTAATATGGCAATGCAAGCAAAGCATGCATGGAGAATTCACCATGAGACGCATACTCTTCTGCACAAGGTTCTAAAAGCTAGGTATTTTTCATCGACTACATTTATGAATGCCAAGATTGGATATAGACCTTCATATACACGAAGGAGTATTTTAGAATCAAGGACGATCATTGAAGCTGGGACGCATTGGAGGATTGGTGATGGGTCTAAAATTCATATATGGAAAGATAGATGGATTCCTTCCCCATATACTTTCTGAGTGGTCAGCCCAAAGAATTTTTAGGAGGAAGATGCAATGGTTAGTGAGCTTATTGATCTAGATACACATATTTGGAAAACAAATTTGACTGATGTTGTCTTCTTAGAGCATGAAGCAGAGGTTATTAAAACGATCCCCTTGGGTGTGTTGCCTATGGAAGATAAGTTAATTTGGCATTATAATGCTAATAGCAAATTCTCAGTCCGGAGTGCGTACCATTTAGCATATGAGAAGAATTTATTCCATTCGGGTTGTACAAGTGCTGATTCATCATCAAATTTGGGGGGTAATTGGGAGGCTTTATGGAATCAAAATGTTCTCAGCAAAGTTAAAATTTTTGCATGAAGGATGATCTTAAATGATCTTCCTACTAACGAAAATTTGTGGCGTAGAAAAATTAGACTGAATGGGGTATGTTGTGTATGTGGGAAGGTTGTTGAAATTATGATACATATCATTAAAGAATGTCCGTAGGCGAGAAGAATTTATTCCATTCAGGTTGTACAAGTGCTAGTTCGTCATCAAATTTGGGGGCTTTATGGAATCAAAATGTTCCCAGCAAAGTTAAAATTTTTGCAAGAAGGATGATCTTAAATGCTCTTCCTACTAACGAAAATTTGTGGCGTAGAAAAATTAGACCGAATGGGGTATGTTGTGTATGTGAGAAGGTTGTTGAAACTATGATACATATCATTAAAGAATGTCCATAGGCAAGACATGTGTGGAATGTGAGTCCTCTTTGTCGTATAATAAATCGAGTTACTGGGAACATTGTCGATTGGTTTTGGGAAATTATTTTGTAGCTTAAGCCAAAACTTGGTGCAATTTTCTTGGTTTTGTGTTGGTATATTTGGCATAACATGAATGAGGTTCTCTTCCAGCAGAGGCGAAATGACTCGGTGGTGTTTTATCATATGGCAATGGACTTTATTTCACAATACGAGCAAGTTTGGGATTCTGGCCGAGAAGGTGCACCAAAACTTGGGTTCCTCCTAGATTTGGATCCCTTAAGGTTAACTTCAATGGGGCAGTGTTTGACATACAGGGTGCTATTGGGGTAGGGGTGGTTATTCGCAATGAATTTGGGTCATTCATCACTGAGATGTCTAAGAAGTTAATTGGTTTTGGGAGAAGCGCAAACTACGGAAACTATGGCTACAAGGGAAGTTATGTTTTTTGCTAGGCAAATTGGGTGTGATGAGATTGTGTTGGATCAAAAAAAAATTGAAATTGTTCTGGAAGGGAATTCTTTTGCAATCATGAAGAGGATTGGCGATAATTCTAAAAAATTTTCTCCTTTTGGCGCTATTATTACAGATGTGCAGCAGTTTCTTTGTCTGTTTATTTTTTATTTTTTGTCCATTGTTAGACGATCAGGAAATCGTGTGGCTCATCAACCGGCTCGAAAGGCCAGTTTAGATGAAAATATTGATGTCTGGGAAGAGATGGCACCAGATTTTCTGATACCATCTCTTATCTCAAATTTAGTTTCTTAATAAAAATTCTATCGTTTCGATTAAAAAAAATAGGCAAATTCAAAAATCAACAATAGTAAGGATTTGCATATACTTATATCCGATCCGATTGTGATGCAATCCAAATTATTTATATATTTTTGTATGAATATTAAGGAAATTAAGTGATTATTTAAAAAATTTAGGTATAATTTGTTAAGATTTAGTTAATTAAGTTATTCGGAACGGATTCCATATTGTTAATGAATTCGAATATGGACCATGAAAATAGAATTTGTTGAATTATCAAATCGAACTTTTGAAATCAGAATCAGATTCAGGTCAACTAAAATTTGATCCAAACTCGATCTGTTGACATGTCTAATAATAACTTTGTTGATGGCTACTTAGGTTGGATTATTCTTTCTAGAGTATGTGTTTAATATGTACTTAGAATAATTGAAAATCAAGAAAATGATACATGGAAATTGTATACATGCCCTAGCAATTCTGCTTTATGGAATTAGGGAAATTGTCACGTATGATTCTCAAAGCAATTATATTTTTCTTTGGTTTCATGTGCGACGCACGTGGTGTGTTGCTAATCTCTATAAGAAACATAATCCAATTATTTCCTCTCCTTTTTTCTTTCATTTTCGGGTATTTTTCCACGAACAACTTCAAACAAGCAAGTAGTAGTGTCAATGTGTCATTATCAATTTCAACTAATCCAACGCAAAACTTTTAAACGAGCCTTTTCAATGAACAATACGATCGAGTTCCACATCCTATCCCTTTGAATTTTCACCCCCAAGGACATGTGTAATTAGCCCAATATTTTTCATTGAATTGTTACTTGACCCATCAGCAGCATGTAGGTCTGTCAATGAATCGAACTTTTGAAATTAGAATCGGATTCAGGTCAACTAAAATTCGATCCAAACTCGATCTGTTGGACATGTCTAATAATAACTTTGTTGATGGCTACTTAGGTTGGATTATTCTTTCTAGAGTATGTGTTTAATATATACTTAGAATAATTGAAAATCAAGAAAATGATACATGGAAATTGTATACATGCCCTAGCAATTCTGCTTTATGGAATTAGGGAAATTGTCACGTATGATTTTCAAAGCAATTATGTTTTTCTTTGGTTTCATGTGCAACGCACATGGTGTGTTGCTAATCTCTATAAGAAACATAATCCAATTTCTTTCTCTCTCTTTTTCTTTCATTTTCGGGTATTTTTCCTCGAACAACTTCAAACAAGCAAGTGGTAGTGTCAATGTGTCATTATCAATTTTAACTAATCCAATGCAAAACTTTTAGACGAACCTTTTCAATGATCAATACGATCGAGTTCCACATCCTATCCCTTTGAATTTTCACCCCCAAGGACATGTGTAATTAGGCCAATATTTTTCATTGAATTGTTCCTTGACCCATCAGCAGCATGTAAGTCTGTCAATAAATCGAATTCTGATCTGAATTCGATTAATCGGATATGAATTAATATTTTTTATCAATAATCCAAATTAGAATCTGATATCTTATATTTCACGGATTCGAATTTGGATAATCTCTGATCTGATCCAAATAAATATTAAAAAAATTAAGTAATTATTTAAAAACTGTTAGTTGAAATTTAGGCATAATTTATTGAAATTTAGTTAATTAAGTTATTTGGATCGAATTTTAAATTGTTAATGAATTTGAATATGGAGCATGAATATAAAATCTGTTGAATTATCAGACCAGATTTGATTTAGACTTTTGAAATAGAATTTTAATTCAGATCAATTAAAATTCGATCCAAACCAAATTCATTGACAGACCTACCAACATGTGAACGACATAATGTTGGGCTTGTATTAATATGTTTCAAAACATTAAGTTAATCGGCCCTACACTTTTATGTTGTTTTAAAACATGTAGATTTGATTTTGGGGTTTTTGCTTTTATTTCCCTTTGGCCCCATCTCCCATTTTGTACAATGACGAAGCTATGCTTGGCCCAAAAGGAGCCAGGACCCCCTCAAGTTTTTTTAAATTATTTTTTTTTACCTCTAAAATTTTTAAAGTTTTACTTTAACCTTAAAATTCTGTTTTTAATTTTACTTTAACGGCCTCTCAAGTTATCAAAGTTATAATTTAAATCCTTAATTTGACAAGTTTAGATTAATTTTTTCAATTTTATTGAAACAAGTCTTTCTCAAGACTGCTAAGAATGTTGTTTTCGAGTCTATTTGTTCAAATCACAAATCAATCATGGCAGCAAATGCAAACAAATACAAACTACGTATACAACCAGGATAAGAATTTCTAGAGGTTCAATATTTGCTCTTGAGCAAAGACAACTAGTCGAACTCAATGATCATTATCTCTTATTTTCTGAACTCAATGATCATTATCCTTTATTGTACAATACGTTTCAAAATTGTACAGACCAAAGAGGATAGAAGGCTACCAAGTTATGTATCTTTTCCTACCTTGGAGTGACAGAAGGCTAATGCAGTAAGCTACCCAAGAGATCTTCCTGCCATTTCCACAAGAAATCACCTTGGAATTCCAATAATAAACTCAAATCAAGCCTAAAAATTACACATTAGGTTTCAGCATTGGCCATCTTCCACGTTTCATTAGATATGAAAAAGACTATGTTCTAGTCAAGTCTCATATATGTATAGTTGTCATGTGTGCATATTTGCAATAGTGATCACACATCTTGTAAAACACTGTCATTTCTACACTCTCTCAATATAACATATCATGAATGGAAAATGGACAAATTTCAGCATTGTCCTCGATGAATATATAGGATCCTGCATGTCTTCACTCCTCTGCAGAGCTTCTCAACTGATGAACTTCAGGGGCCTCATCATCACATTGTCTTCATGATCCAAAATCTGGAATTTGTATTGAATGGCCATGAAGGGGGAAAAAAAACATGTTAGAACTAAAAATGATAATAAAAGTTTAATCAGAACTCTGAGTCTGATTAATATCTTGAAATGATTACCCGACCTTCGGATGAAGCCTTGTTGCCCCTTGTAAGATATGAGTAATGTTACTTGAACTAATTTTACTCTACTTGTTGATCTGATCTACTGTTATCGTTAATTTTGCAATGAGACCCATATTCGAAGGGTTACCGGCAATAGTGGATTTAGTCAGTAAATTTAGTTTTAATAATGTCATTGAATTTGGTACAATTTAAGCAAGTTGCTTATTTGTTCAAAACACCTAAGTTTTAAATTTATTATTCTAGTTTCATGGTTATTCAACAAAATCAAAATGTGATGAAAATATGACAAAGATCGCATTGAGTCAAAGTTATCGTCCCTTGTGCTCCATTGGGGAGGGATGAGAGGAATAGGGAAAAAAAAAAATTAAGAGTAGAAAAGCTACACTTTCTATTCTCGCAGGAAATTACTTTCTTTCCTACTTCGTGTTTGTAGGAGGGTTGGAAAACGTAAAAGATGTATTTTTTAATGGGTTACAAGAAAGACAAATCTTTTCATATTTTTTTTTTCATTCGTCTAATTTTCTATATTTCAACTTTTTTTTTATTGTTTTCACTTTTTCATCATACGTACTGAATCAGTACTGTGGCCTAGATAGGAGTGACGAAATGAAACAAAAGTTTATGGGCACAGAGAAGGCAAAAGATTAGTCAAATGGAGTAAGACTGAAGGCATTTGGAATTTTGTAGACTGGCCACCCCTATAAGGCAGGCAAGAAGACAAATTTGAGAAGCTTTTTCCCATATCAATGGCCTGTGATAGAATTGGAGGTTCTCAATTGGCATTAGGTAATGTCTCATTCTCTTCGTTTTCTAAATTTCATATCTTTTTTATAGTTCAATAGTTAAGAATATCCAAACCAACTTACGTTCGCTTCAACTAATTCATTTATCGGTTCAGTTAAAGACAAGTTATATACGACAATATTAGAAAATCTATTATGATTTGAATTTAAAATATTATTAAAATTTAAATTCAAAACATCTAAATTTACTGTTTACTCTTAGAGTTAGATCAACTCTTGTTATGAATGTATGTAATAAAGGTAATGTGTAGAAGAAACAATGAACTTACGTGACAATGGTAGACATAGCCGGGCTCTGCTGTTGCATCAAATTGGTAGGATGCATTTGAATGTATGTAAGAAAACCTCACTAGTATCTTTGTAACGTATCCGGGCATCATTTTGTACACGTTCTTCCATCCCTTCTCATGGGCCAGCACCTCCGTCTTGTTGCCACGTGCATACTTGCTTATTTGGCACCTGATCGCATCGTTGAACTTCGTCATGCACGCTGTAAACACGTCTTTGTTGACCAATTCGGTCTGATCTAACACCACAAATAGACCCAAATGGATGTGTAGAGGGTGATTATCCTCCGTTAGATTGATCACATTCCAAACTTCGGAGGACCCCACCTTCGGTGTCTCGGTCACTGGTTTTTCGAATGACATTCCGTTTAGATACAAATGCGTAGGCTCACCGGTGGGGCTGGTATACTCGTACATAGCGATGTACCGTGTGAGCGAAGCACTAGATACATCGGGGGATGGGTATTCTAGTAATTTATGAGGCACCCTTGACTTGTCATTCACATGATGTGGTTCGACGATGAATTTCATGACTTTGCCATTGGCTTTGTTGACTGGGTCTCCAGTTGGGAAGGGATAAGGTGCATCATTGGCTAGAATAGCCGAATCAGACTTTGACTTTGAAAAGTCAACGATCACATCGGCTATCTCAGACGGGGCCATGAGGATCTCATCGATTATCACGGGCCGTTCGTGATATGCCGAGTCGGACCCCACATGGATGAAATCTAGACCGTTGGTGAAGAAGAATTTGAAGAACCTTGCATTGCTTGCATTGATGATACGAAAACGGTACTTTCTACGCTTCACGATCATGTGGGGCCATGCTTTTCCGTTTACTATGACAGCATCACCAAAGTATTCAGGCTGCCACTGTGGGTGAATTGAGGGATTGTTTCCTGTGGAATTCATATATATGGAACCATCTGTACGAAAGCTACGATCAAAAATGACCAATGGTCGTTCAAATTCATCGCCATGGGGTAAGCCAAGTGGTGCCTCGACATTGGGTTGGCGAATTATGTAGGCCCCACTCAAACCAGCTAAAATGTTGACTCTAGTCAGTCCCATGGCATGATCATGATACCACATTGTTCCCGGTTGTTGAAAGTTGTGATAATGGTACATTTTCTTGCTCCAAGTCCGCCCTCGTTCTTTGAATCCAACGGTGAACCATGATTCCGCGTGTCCATCACTCTCGGCCTCACCAATGGCACCATGGAGGTGCACCACCGTAGGAATACCCTTCTTGGTGGACGGTATTGCAGTTGGGATAGTCGGGTCCCAAGGTAGTATGTGCTTTGAAGGGAGATGATTTTGCCACGTCACATAAGTGTCAACACCATTGATGGCCTCAATCGTTGGACCAGGAATTGTTGCGGTGTTCTTGGATGTACCATAGGCAAATACCGGAGTTAAAGGGAGATCCCTATGAAATTTCTGCAAACAAAGAGCGAAAAAAAAAAACAAAAAAACTGTTAGACAATATTATATTACTTAGTTTATACAATATGTTTTTTTAATATTACATTGATGAGAAATGTAATAATTATTAAAAATAAATAAATAAATTTTGATTAACATGAGTACCATCACAATTTGCAGCGGGACCCGCTCTAGTATTAGAAGCGTAAAATTTTCTAGCCTGGGGAAGGTTGCAACTAGAATTATATTGTATTGCTAATTCAATATGTCGCATATAATTGTTGACATTGCATTCAGATTTCGTAATGTACAAAAGATAGTGAGTCGAGTGACAGCTAACCTATGACCAAGAAAATCTATGTACGACGTTAACCATATAATGATATAAACGTAAACATCATAAGGGATAAAAAAAATAAATAATACAGAACAAAACTGTCAATTTACTTGAACTCTTCAACAGAGTGTAAGTCAATAATTTTTGATACATCACACTATTTAATTAGAAAATTTTGGGGTGTTACAATTATTGTATACGCAATCCCGAGGATCATTCCAACAGTAATGTGTGAAATTACTACAAATATTTATGTGTCAATAATTTTTTACGTATAACACTATTTAATTAAAAAAATTTGGAGTATTACAATTGTCGTAAACGCGATCCCAGGGATCATTCCAACGGCAACGCATGTTTTCTAGGGTTTGGTCATACCCAAGCTGGATATTCCCTGACAGTATTGAATTGTAAATGTGATTTAATATTCCTGAACAATTAAAAAAAAAAAAAAGGGTAAAATTGTCCTATGGCATTGGATAGAATGGGCAAGTCATTTCGGTGGATGGTGAAAATTTGTTGTTTTCTATGAAAATATCTTTGCCCCCGTCCCCTTTTTTTTTCAATAGCAAAAAAAAAGAAAAAAATTTGGATCACATAATTAAAAAAATAGAGTTTATCTATGTGAATCAATCTCAGATGTCTGCCAAAAAATTATTAGCGTCTCTTGTAACACGCCAATCACTTGAAGATTTATTTTACAAAATAGCTTAAAGATTTCTTATAATTTAAAAGTAACATCAACATTCCAATTATCAATTATATGATAAAGTAACCTAAACTCCTAATGTTGTGATATGGTAGGTAATAAGGTCCCAATAAAAAAAAATGTAAGATCGTTATTAAATCAGTTTATTAGATTTCAATAACACTATTTTTCGAGCGAACTAAGAGCATCCTCAAATCCCCTAATGTCTTGAAAACTATATCAACTTTAAACCTCAAAAGGGCATTTGTATGGCTACTGCCAGAGTGCCTCTGAATCTAACAGTACCACAAAAACTCAATAAAGAGATTGCTTTTTCTTTTGAGCAATCATGACCCAGAAAGCATCTAAAGTCTAAACATAGAAAGAGTGGGAAAAGAAGAAAAGAGAGAAGTTACCCATTTCTTGTGGTACATCCCAATCGTCAGTGACTTGGACACTGCAACGCCATTGACGAACTCGAAGCCAGGAAGCCTGGGCATATCTGGAAGTTCATCCACAAACATTTCCAACTTGGTTGGATTTATTAGATTGTCTTGAGCCCATGTGGTGATGAACAGTCCACAGAAAGCTAAAGAAATGAGCTTTGACAACAAACTCTCCATCTTTTGCTTGGAGAGAGAGAGAATTGGGTAGAAAAAGAGAGAGCTGTGTAGGATAAAGTCTAGGTTTGGTACCCCTTAACACGAGAGAGAGAGAGAGAGGTGTTTGAGTGGCTGTTTTTGTATTTGATTAAAGATATTTATGCTATCAAAGAGAGTAAGTGGTGCGAGTATGAAAAGATGAGTACCGTGACTTGTCTTCCATTGGGTGGGCTTCGATGTCTCCGAAAAGTGTTGAATTTAGAGACTTTTTTCGATTATTATGACACATTTTGTCTGTTTCTTTGATTTTTTTTTTCACTCTTTCTTTCCTTCATCCACTACCTACAACATCCCCCCATTTGCAGCCTCTACTTTCAAAGTTTCAATTGTGTTTTATTTTTTGGGATAAGTTCAAAGTTTCAGTTGTTAATAGAAGAGATAATTGCTATTTTCAAAAAAGGGTTTGCTCCAAATTAAATGATATGATATGATAAAAGGGAACGACTTAATGGTATATCATTCATTATAAATTCAAGTAAGATTTACTATTTATAAGAGATCTCTTATTCAGACACAATGGACAATTTATTATTCAGTGAATTGAATGAAAATATAATAAAAAAGATTTGGATCGCGTGAATAGATGAGGACGGATGAGTCCACATATTAAAGTATTAGTCGATACCGATAAGAGTCGATTGAATCATAATTAATTAGGTATCTTTCGAGACGATACCATTAAACAATACGTATAAACTTCAAATCTCACATGACTCGACCCAGTCATACGAGTTGTATCCAAGTCGTTGAGTTATCGTCACAGAATCGATCGATACAATTCCACGACATCGCGGTATAATCTGAATCTCTCATCATGTTCAATATTTTTTTTAAGGTCGTACCGTTTAATACTGTGATACAACGTTATGCCCGATGTATCTTAAAGCTTTCCAAGTCGATGATCAACTTGGATGCTGATTGTTATTCCTAACAACTAAAACTTCTATTAATTTAATTTAGAAATAGATAGCAATAATTGCTACACAGAGTAAGGGTGCAGTGATGATTATTATAAATGATATGATATTAATGACATTTTATCATTAAAATACAATAATGTTTGTGAGCCCATATGTTTTAAGTTCTTCTCCAATTGAAAAAATAATTTAAAGATCCTCTAATTTTTTATTATTTTTTTTTGTGAATGGTGAATATTTATCCACAACAAACCCAATGTATATCAAATTTTGAAATTCAAGATATATTTAGAATAAAGTAGAATTTGTTGACATTGCCAGATTCTTACGGTCAAAAAAACATTAAAGAATCTTATAATTACTAAAAAATTAGAGAGGAGTCGAACCCTTTTTAGTGTAGGAAATGTCACCTATTGCATTAATAGAAAAATCATATCTACAAGCAACCGAAAGGTATTGTATTTTGTATCCAAATGCCATATTTGTGTATGAACTAAGGGGGGTTTGTTCCAATTACCACATTAAATGCATATCACATGTGAAATTTACAAGATTGTAGTTACTTGTATTGTACATGATATGAGACGAATTAGTCAGATATGTTATGGCCATATACGCTAAGTAGTTAGAGTTGAATATGATACAAATAAATAAAAAATAATCAGGCACGTTAACTCCACACAAATATCATACAAAAAGCCATATTCATTGGCAAGCCAAAGGTGTTGATTATATATCACATATGAAAACTGTAAGGATTAATCCGTACCGGAATATCTTCACTCCATCGAAGGATTCTGACTGATCTAGATCCCTTCCTAAGGCAATTCAGTAGTCTTTACCTCTCAGTGCCCATGAGGATCTCGTCCCACATCGACTGAGAGTCGTCTTCCCCCCCCCCCCCCGACGCACGCATATAAGTCTACGCTTCATATGGATGAAGTACCCACTAGCCACTTAATCACTCTCAGTCGATGTAGGACAAGATCCTCATAGGCACTAAGAGATAAAGGCTATTGGATTGTCCTAGGAAGGGATCTAAGTCAGTCAGAATCCTTCGGTGGGAGGAGGATATTCCAATGCAGATTAATCCCTTACAAAAATTATAATATTATAATAGGATATGTTGACAAGAAATGAACATGATACGAATTAGTCACACATGATTAGGGTTATATGCACCAATTAATTAGGGTTGAACATGATACGACTAAGTGAGAACTAGTTAGACATTAACTCAACCAGAACATGATACGAATTAGTTAGAGTTGACTGAATCTCGCCAGAAGTCTGAAAATAATATGTACCGCTAACATGGAAAATAAATAAATTGGATTAATCTCAAACACATATTACTCGATTTTTATACAATCAGCCCATTATACCAAGAGAATTTCTGATTTTCTTTATATTTCCTTATTTATTCATCTTGTAAGAATGAATTTTAACTTAATAGAAAACTTGTGTTAGTGGGTTGGTTGGTATAAAAGGTCATCTTTATTTCTAATTACAGGGTTATGTGTAAAGACAAATATGTGAAAGAATAAATAAATACCTAGCACTAATCAGATCATCTGATACAATTAGATAAACAAATGAATTTAAGCTCAACTAGTAGTCGATATAAATTTAAAATATTAGGACTCGAAAACGATATAATATGACTCGATTGCCATCTTGAGTGCTTGAGTAATCCTTCTAGCTGGTATATATTTTGTTCAATGCATTAACACCTGAAACTGGCTAGCTTGGCTCACTGCAAGTGATGCAATCGCTACACTTTCTAAAGTATGAAATTAAAAAGAGAGTGTGTGTGCGTGTGTCATTCCAAGTGAAAAGCTGGTCAAAGAAGAATTATAGAATGAGAGCGATGGGCACTGGAACAAGTCACATTCTTTTGAAATAGATGTAATAGAGACTCTCTGTCCCACTGCTTGTACAATTCTTAAATAATTCCAATTCAAACAACTGTCTCGAATGGATGCTTTAAAAAATTCGTGGTGTGCATTTTGTATGTTGGGTTTTTTAGGTCGTGCGACCCAGCTGTTTATGTGCTACCTGTGGGCGCAACGACACTCAAAAGTATCACTCAACGACTTGTATTAGGTTTGCGTTTTGTTTCATGATGCCTCCTTTAGTGGTGCCATTGAAAAACACTAATGAACAACGAAGATACTTCTATGGACTTTTGTTTCACAAGGCCACCAAAAAATCTAATTGAGTAGCATCATTGAAAAATGTCAATAAACGAGGCATCTCGTTTCAAAATACCATCAAAAACTAATTTAATTTGACGTCATGCAATTATTAAACAGAATTCGATTTACGAGAAGTCATGCGGTTATTAAGCAAAGTTCGATTTATAGGATAAACCAGTTTGTTCTGTTTGATTTTTGTGGTGCTGTAGTAACAGGTTGCAATTCCATATTAGTAGTTATAGCTCAAACTGGATATTCCACATTAGGGGACCCTCATGGTCATGCCTAAGAAATTACTACTTATTGATCACCCTTCTTTGTTTTCACGTTCAGAAAATAAATAAAAGAAGGTAATATTAGTGTAGGAAGAGACGTGTTACATTAACAGCCAAGCCAAATTTACAAGCAACCGAAAGGTGTTGAATTTTGTATCCAAATGCCATATTTGGGTTTCGATCTAAGGGGGTTTGTTTCAATGTTTTGAACTAGTCAGGCGTGGATAATTAAAAATCGCATCAATTGATGCATTAAACGCATACCGCATGTAAAAACTACGAAATATTAAAATTGTACGATGATACGAACATTACGAATTAGTTAAACACGTTGTGGCTACATGGGTTCACTAATTAACTAGAATTAGTCAAACACGTTGTGGCTACATGGGTTTACTAATTAACTAGAGTTGAACAGGGTATGAATAAGCGAAAACTTTTCAGACATGTCAACTCCTTAAGAACATGATACAAATTGTTTTTTCTTTTCGGACATCAATACGAATTAGTTAGCCTCTAGTAAATTTTGACACAAGTTCCAAAATAATACAACTTACTAAAATGGATAATAAATAAGTATGGTTTGTGTGAAACCACGTATTACACGATTTTCATATGATCAAACCATTTAGTTGGTATAATCTGCAGAAAATTTTTGAGATTTTTATTTTTGCCAAACTCTAGATCTTGAATTGTGTATACAAGTCTTTATAATAATTGAAGGACTTGTTTGTTTGGTTTCACAAATATCTTGACCAACTAAATTTTAACTTTATAGAAGACTTATAGTTGATTGGTTTGGTTGGTATCCAAGATAGTCGCAATCTTAATTATAGATTTCTGATTCGTAGGTTATGTGCAAAAACGTAAATACATCATGATTAGTAAATTATTAGTGTTGATCATGATTAGTAAATTAGTAATAGCATTAGACAAATAGACTGAATTAGAATCGACTAGTATATAATCTAAACATAACATAACTCAATTATCATTCTTAATATGAAATTTGTTGAGTGTTTTTGGATGCCTTATAGCAGGTATGTTGTACAAAGACCTGCCTCAATACAAGTGATGCAATCAACACACTTTCTCCAGTATGAAATTAAAGTGAGTGAGTGAGTGTGTGTGTGTGTTTTTTGCTCATTCTAAGCGAAAAGCTGGTGAGGCAATGATAGATATAATGAGAGCGATGCGCACTTGAACAAGTCCCAATCTTCAGAAATAGATGTCAAAGAGCCTGTTGGCCCACTGCTTGTAGAATTCACAAATAATTCCAATTCAAACATGTCTCTTGGAACGATTAATTTAAGCGATAAAATAGACGAATTATAAATTTAAATTTTTTGAATTCGAATTTTGGTAATACTTTGAGATCAGACCATAAGAGATTTATTCCTCATTAATGTATTAGTCTCAGCGTGAATGACATGCCCTTTGACTGGATTAGAGAGAAAATTAGTCAAGGAGTGCGTAAATCAGTCTAGACACCCCCTAACTGTTGGACAAAAAAAAAACAACTCTCTTGGATGGATTCTGATGAACCCGAAATTAATTGGGTCAAGTTCAAT